GAAATTATTGATAGTTGCTGGTATTTTTTGTTTACTAAGTCTTTGCTAATTCATGTAATCTTCATTTAACAACATTTTACCAAATATATACTTAAATACCAGGAACCATGCTATGTACCTGAGACAATAGTCAGTGAAAATAGAAAACAGTTCTTAGTCTCGTTGAGCTTAAAGTCAAATAATAACACAAATAAGTACATAGTTAAAAAGTGAAATAAGTGTTTTATAGGAAAGAAAAATATCAAGATTCTATGAGTGTAACGCACAAAAAATTAACCTGCATTGCATATTGGTGAAAAGTTCCCCGAAAAAATAATGCTGAAATTAAAATCTAAACACTGAGTAAGCATCTACTGGAAGGAGAGACAAGAAGACTCTTTCAAACAAACACTACTGGAAATTTGCTAGAGAGTGGATTTCAGGTGCTGTCATCACACACACAAAAAGAGTAACCATGTGAGAGAATGATATATTAGCATATATATAGTAATTATTTCACCATGTATATGTATATCAAACCATCATGTTGTACATCTTATATATATATACACAATTTCTATTTTAAAAAAAGGAAGAAGTAGGAAGACTCTGTGGCAACAGGGAGCCTGCAGAGTCATCTTTACAAGCCCTCCTCATCATGCCCATGTAATTGGGGCGCAGAAGGATGTGGTCAAGCCCCTGTGGTCTTCTAAGAAGGGTTATAAAACAGAGATAACAAGATAAATAGGTTTCAGTTGAGAGAGGAGTCAAATTACTTCCTGCCAGTAGATCAAGGGAGAGTTATCTTTCTTTAAGGAATACCATAGTGACACTCTACTAACTTTGTTCCCTCCAGGTCTCGATTCTTATTAAAGGAATGGATCCAGCAAAGGGCTCCCACCAGAACATAGGGAGCAGGAAGATTTCTTTGGTGGTTCCCAAAAAAGAGAATGCTGGATTGTTAGCAAGGGACCACATCAAATCATTGGTTTTAAATATATTAAAAAATACCTTGTTCTAGAGTAAATAAGAATCAGGCAGTGTAAGACAGTAAAAATACCTACCAATCTCAGGTTTATGAATGAGGGCTCAAAGCAAGAGGAGTAACAAACAGCCCAAAGATGCATTCTAGGTCTTTTTATGCCAGCTGGACTCTGGCTGAAGGAAACATATTATCCTTTCCTTCAGAGAGAGGCAGAGAATGATATTTTCTCAGAGCGTATTGAATTTATTTCGCTTTCTTAATGTAGTGTCTCTCAGTATGTGGTTTCACATTTGTTTATACTCATGTAGCCAACTGTGCATTGCTACAAAAAGGAATCTGAGGTCTAAAATAGAAGCATTTTTTTCACTAAAATGTAAATTCTTGAACAAATCTCTCTTCCCTGAAATATAAAATTTGAATAACAATTTTTCTTTTAACATTTTGTAAAAGCCTAGTAATAGTTATCTTTCAAGCAGCTAAACAAAATAGAGTTCTGTTTACGATCAAATCACTTTAATGAGCCTAGCAGAGCAGCAGAAATGTCAGTAATTGCTATCCTTTCATCCTCAGTCCTGTTTTGATGGGTTAAAAAAAAAAAGTAAATCAAACTAGTCTCCAAAATCTCATCAAAGAAAATCAATCAAATGTGGTAGTCAACATGGTATTATAGCATCCACGTATGCATTTTTATTAAAGCTTACACAAAGCTTTTCAGAATCCAGACTTACTGCTACCTAAATTCTAAATCATACAAACGCTATTGTGTGTAACAGTGTGCTTGCACACAGATGGACAGCCTAAAAGAGCCATATTCCCTATGACAACTGTCCTATGAATTCTTAAATGAATGCAAATAAGGATTTATGCTGATGCATCTGTAGCCCAAAAACCCCTACTGCATGGATACCCATAGATTTGAAACTGGGAGCAATCAATTCACCTCCTAGACCAGAGTAAAGCACCATGCTATTTCTTAGAGTTTTCTTCTTCTCTCTCACACTTTTTCAGGGTATTATTTGGTAGTGAGAGATTTTCCTTGATTAATAGCTCACGCTTAATTCTAATGCTCATTATAGTAAAGATCTTCTTGCAGCAAGACTGTTAAAAGAGGGTATAGCATGCATCAGGCAAAGCTTACTTCATTCCCTGTCAGCATCAAACAACTGTCATTCTGCTAAATGAGTTGTCATTAGCAGGCAGAGCCTTCTAGAGTCGCTCAGAAAGAAATCTAACTGAAGTGATGACTACTGGAGGAGGCCTGATTGAGTTTGGAGGCCGGGCCATCCCCTTCCCCCATTCTCCCATTCCGTGCACTAAGCAGTCTTTCTAAAGTGGGGATATTTGGCTTGGGACTGGTGACCTAAAACTACCTCTGAAATCTGGCACAGCATTTCAGCTCTAGCATGAATATTCTCTCCCCTCAGCCAGTATTATTGGCAGGCATCTCGTGCATTGCCAAGTGTGTGCCAGAGATGGGAATAATGGATAAGTTAGGGTGACTTGCAAATATAAATAAGTAATGGTTTCCTTTATTCAGTTTAGAATTCCTGTGGAAAATTATGTCCTCAGCTTTCTTGGTCTTCCTTCGGAGTTTTACTATGATGATTTCAATACTTTCCCTGAATTCAGACCTTATCTACTAATGAGTTGTCAAACTCCAGACACATGTCACTGCCTGTCTTTCTTTCATGTAAATGGTACATCTTCATGTGCTCCATATTCTATTTTCTCATGCCAAAATTTGTATTTTTGTGACTTATTGCTTTTCTATTGAAGCCCTAAATTTGGACTAAATGAAGAAATAGTCATACCTGTGAAGTGATTGAACTTTACTAGAGACAAAAATTTGTTTCATTAATTCAAAAAACATTAATTAGATTCCTATGAGAGTAGTTGTTCCCAACCTATCTGTCCCTACTTAGGAGCTCACAAAGGTATTAATGGAAATATTCAATTTACTTTAAATATTTCAAAAATTGAAATAGTAATCATGCATTTACCTATGATGAGACTGCATGGGCTAACTAAAATGTCAAGGTTTTTTGCTTTGGCTGGAGTTATATCACACCTTTGGCATTCCCAAGGTAGGATCCCAGAAATTTCATGATTCCTCCACTCGGTGGATAAATTATAGTATATAATATCTCCTGATATGCTATATTTTATATCTAAAGATATATCCTTACATATCCTTAATTAAGTTTTGAATCCTTGACTATAGCTATCAGCATAAATTCTCACACATCCCCCAATAAACTCTAAAATTTATTGCATAGCACGGTCAAGATAATAACATTCAACTTGAATATAGATGAATTTATGAAAAAATGAATCTTATAATCCCTTCACAAGAGTCCTCAACTGGTCAGTGAAGAGCAGAGAGCAGCAGCGCCCCCTGGAGATGAGGAGCAGGACAGTCACCCGGGCTCCCCTACCAGTCCCTTCGGCCAACTTCACAACGTTCAATGCAAACACACATCTGGGCAAAACTACAGTTACTGCGTCCTGTACCTCCATGAATGTTTATCTCAGACCGATAATAAGCTCTCATTGGCATCTACACTTTTTAAAAGAAAAGTGAGGAAATAAATTATCCTAAGTAAATGTAACTGTTGAACAAAATCTTTCAGAATATAAAGTCCATTGACGAGGGGTTGAGATTCGCCCAGGAAGGTAGAAAGTGTGAATCAACATTCCAATCTATTCCTTAATGATCATTTTTATCTTTTCTTCTTATTGAGATACAATTGATATGTCACACTGTATTAGTTTTAAGTGTACAACATAATGATTTGATGTATGTATATATTGTGAAATTATTACCACAATAAGTTTAATTAACACCCATCACTGCACATGGTTACAAATTTCTTTTCTTGTGATGAAAACATTTAAGATCTACTCTCTAACTTTCAGATATAGAATACAGTGTTGTTAGTCATGCTGTACATTACATCCCCGGAATTTGTTTATCTGGTAACTAGAAGTTTGTACATTTTGACCACCATGAAGGTGGTTAATAATAATTTTTTAATTTTTGTTCTTGATAAGATGAAAATATACAGAAAACTATAGAGAGAAATATAACAACCCACATGTAAACCCTTCCTGGGGGAGTAACTGTTCATGTTTTGCCATTTCTTTTGCTTAATTTATTTTATAAAAGAAACAAAGCTTTATAGTTAACATTGAAGCCCTCTTTGCTCTCTTCCCCAATTTCAATCCCACAGTCCCTTCCCAGACTCAACTATTGCCCTGAATTCGATCCATGTCTTCTCAATCCATATTTTAATGCTTTTATTAAATATACACATCTCCGTAAATACATATCATCGTTTTGTGTGAATTTTTAAATTTATACAAATGCTGTTATACTCTAGACATCATTAGTACGCTGCTTTTTAAAATTCAGCTTTGTTTTTTAAAACATTTAAATTTAGTTTAATTTTATTATTGAATAGCTTTCTGTTACATAACCCTACTACAATTTATTTATCTTAATGTCCTTACTGATGGACATTAAGGTTATCTTTCTATTTTTTGAGGTTACAAACAATACTGCACTTAACATAGTTATGGATTTCTCCTGACACATATGGACAGGAAGCAAGATTCTTAGAGAAAAAAATAATAAATTGAAGCCTTTGAAATGCTTCTAAGGTGAAGTCTATAGGGTTTAGAAGATAAAGAGAGCTCACTGAAGCAAGAATGGGAGAGGAGCAACAGGACCTGGTTTGGTAACACAACACTGTGTTGATGAGGAGGAGGATAATATATTTTAAATAGCATTTTTACAAAATATACTTAAACAGAGCTAAGAAAAATATTACATTTAATTTCTGGTTGCAGAATGATGCTACTTTCCTTGAAAGAAAACTCTTCAAAGCAGGTAAAGCGATTACAGGTATATTCAGTTTCTGACAAGATAATGTTTTCACCCCTGGATCCTACCTTCTAGGTCTTTGTCTGAGCTCTGCCTCTCTAACGTTAGCTCTCCAGCACGGTCCCTCCGTTCTAGTCAAACCTCTCTACTTACCACACTGTAAATAAAACTTCTGTCTTGCCTCTTCCGTGACTTTGCTCCTGCTACGCACAGCCTGGAGAGACCCTGGTGAGGTTCATGGTATTCTTTCCCCCCTCTTGGTTCTTGTAATACTTAGTCTGAGCATCTCACTCAATCACTGACACACTCGTTGCAAATGGCATGTGTTTTGATGTAATGCAAATCAGATCTTTAAGATCTCAGGCAAGCGATTTGCAGATTCTGCTGCCTTCAAGTTCCAAGGTTGCTATAACAGTGACAGAAGAACCTAGATACGTTAGCCTGGTCTCTTTTCTTAGAAGTAGAACTTCTTTCTTAAAGTCTAATGAGTCACAACAATAGTACTGTGTTAATGAGACTATTATGATAAAAATAGCCAACATTTATGAATTGTTTTCTGTAGGTCAGGGTCTGTGCTAAACACTTGATATCTTTTATCTCATTTAATCCTTACTGTGACTCTATAGAAATGAAAGGCACAGAAAGATTAAATAAGTTGATTTAGGTCAGTCAGCTGCTAGGCAGCTGAGTCAGGGTCTGTCTTACTCCAGAACCTGATCACATTAAACTCTCTTCCATGTTAGTAACTACAGGAGTATGTTCCTTTTGTCTAGGAAGTGAATAAAAACTGTCCTGTCCATGGAAGGAAGGAAAAGCAATACGGAGGGGCGTAAAGAGTGTCAAATCTGGACCCACTTCAACTTGAGTTCAAATCCCATCTCTACTACTTCCTATCTGTGTGGTGAGCCCTAGTTTCTTTAAGATAGAACGTCTGCTGGGATCCTTGTCTGTTGATCCACAGATGATACTTAGTCTCTGTAGATTTTCTTATTCTGTGTTGTCATAGCATTTGGTGCATGTCTTTGTTTCAGCAGCTACGTTATATTGTGCTTTTACACATTTATTTGTAATATCCTTTCATCAGGCCCCTAACTTGATGTGTCAGGCCCTGTTCCACATGCAGGGACACAGTGGTGAATTCACACAATAGCTCTGCTGTCACGGAACTGAGATTCCAATCAAGAAAGACAATAAAATATAAGGCTAGACAAATTCTATACAAAGAGCTAAAATTGGGTGATAGTGAGCAACTTGGTAGCTATTTCAGATTGGGAAATTAAGAAAGGCTTCTCTGAAAGAGTGAAATTTAAGCTACTAAATGGATCACAACAAGGATCCAGCCTTGCAAATATCAGGGGAAAGGAGATCCAAGCAGAGGGAAGAACTAGGGCAAAGGAGATGGGTTCTCTCCCTACTACACCATGAGCTCCACCCAGAACCATTTTTGTGTGTTTCCGATTGCTTCCCCATGGTGTATTTTAACATGTTACTCTGTTCCTGTGTATTAATGAGCCATTGCTGCAACAATGCTGTATAACAAACCAAATAATTTCTCTGCTTTAAATCCTTCAGTGACTTCTTCTCATTGGACTTAGAATAAAATCAAATTGTAAAGTGAAAACTCTGAAGATAAGAATCGCATGTGTCTGGTTTGTTACCATGTCTCCAGTACTGGTTTTGGTGCCTGACATGAAGTAAATACTTGTACTTGTAGAATAACAATAAAGAAATGTGGGAATGAGCCTGGGCTCTGTACTCCAGCTCTTCAGTTCTTTCAAGGGATTACAACCCAGTTTCTCCTTTATATTTTAAACCACTCTCCTATAGTACTGGTCCTCTGCTGTTCAACATATGCATTTTTCCTATCTGAAAAACAAAACCAACTAACAGTAACAACAACAAAAAACCTCGTCTTTGATTCCTTTAGCTACCAACACTCTTCCTTCTCAAGCAATACAACTTCACTTGTCATTCACATTTGGAATATTACTTATACCCAGACTAAAATTTGCAAGTTGGCCATAACATCCATTCCACACAGCATTGCTTGTGATCAATTAACTCATTTTGCAGCAAAAGAAATGCAGCAAGGGGCCTATGCTCATGGAATTCACTGGTCTTACCATGATCTCCATTATCTTGAAGCAGCTCGCTTGACAGGATGGTGAAACAGCCTTTTGAAGACAGTTACAGCGCCAGCTAGGTGGCAACTCCTTGCAGGGCTGAAGCAATGTTCTCCAGAAGGCTGTATATGCTCTGAATCAGCATTGGATGTATGGTGCTCTTTCTCCCATAGCCAGGATTCACAGGTCCAGGAATTAAGGGGTAGACGTGAGAGTGGCACCACTCACTATTACCCCTGGTGATCCACTAGCCAAATTTTTGCTTCCCGTTCCTGTGACTTTATGCTCTGCTGGCCTAGAGGGCTTAATCCCAGAGGGAGAACTGCTTCCACCAGGAGACACAAAAATGATTCCATTGAATTGGAAGTTGAGACTGCCACCCAGCCACTTTGGGCTTTTCACGCCTCTGAATCAACAGGCAGAGAAGGGAGTCATGATGTTGGCTGGGGTGATTGATCCCGACTGCCAAGGGGAAATTGGACTCTACTCCACAATAGGGGTAAAGAAGAGCATGTCTAGAATACAGGAGATCCTTTAGGGTGCCTCTTAGTATTACCATGCCCTGTGATTAAGGTCAACGGAAAACATAAAACGACCCAAACCAGGCAGACCTACTAATGGCTCAGACCCTTCAGGAATGAAGGTGTGGGGCACTCCACCAGGTAAAGAGCCACGACGAGCTAAGATGCTTGGTGAAGGTGGAGGAGACACAAGATAGGTAGCAGAAAAAGATAGTTATAAATACCAGATATGATCATGCAACCAGTTACAGAAATGAGGACTATAATTGTCATGATATTTCCTCCTTATTTTGTTATGAATACATTTGTATAAATATATACATAAATATAGCCATATATCTTTGCTTTATATATAAAGCAAATATCTTTGTTTTCTTTCCTCTCTTATTCCCTTGTCATGTAACATAAGATATATAGACTTTATATCAATATTTAAGTATTGTTAATTTTATACCATAGTATTTAAGTTATGAGATATAAGAACACAAGTAAACATCACTCAAGGACTTTACCTTTTCTTCTGAGGAAGGGATTAGTGTATTTTCAGCTGTATGCAGGATAGTTGTATCATGTTAGATGAAATTATGACCCCTTATTGTCTTTATTTGGAGATTTACTATGATTTAACAGATGTATTTGGGTGCCAAATTGACAAGGAGTGGACTCCTGATGCTAATTTTATGCATCAGCTTGACTGGGTTAAGAGATGACCAGATAGCTGATAGAAGATTATTTCTGGGTGTGTCCATAAGAGTGTTTTTAGAAGAGATTAGCATTTAAATTAATAGATTGAGTAAAGAAGATCACCTCTTCAGTGTGGGGTGGGCATGATCGAATCCACTGAGGGCGTGAATGGAACAAAAAGGTGGAAGAGGGGCTAATCTGTTCTTTTTGACTAAACTGGGACACCCCTCTCCTCCTGCCCTTGGACATGGGCATTCCTGGTTTTCAGGCTTTTGGATTCAAGCTGGGATTTACCCCATTGGCCTCCAGATTCTCAGGCCTTTGGAATCAGATTAATATCATTGGCTCCCCTAGTTGTCAGGTTTTTGAACTCAGACTGAATTGCGCGTCACCAGATTCCTGATTCTTCAGCTTGCAGACAGCAGATCATGGGACTTCTCGGCCTCCATAATCACACGAGCCAATTCTATAATAAATCTCTTATATCTATCTCTATATCCTATTGGTTCTATTTCTCTGGAAAACCTTGAGTAATACACTCCCTCTTTCCTAAGATTCCGGTTTTCTTTCTATTTCTCCAGCCATCCCTTAATCTTCCTCATGGGCTGTTTGCTCCTCATTCTTCCCTCTTAAATATTTCATCCTCACCTCTCTGTTCTTTTCACTTTATGCATAATCCATGAAGAAACAAACTCAAACTCATAGCAACAGCTAATACCTATGAGAGTATGATACTCATGTCTTCTCATTAGCCTAGCATCTCCCAGGCGCCATAGACTTTATAATAACGGCATTTATTTATTGATTACTTACTACAATTCGAGAACTGTGCTTAGATCTTTACAAATATTGTTTGACTTATTGTTCCAAAGTTTTGAAGAAGATAAATAATTATTTTGTTTTTACAGAGGGGGAAACAAAGACGTAGACAGGTTCAGTGAATTGCCCAAGGCCACGGAAATAGTAACAAATCGGGGATTTGAATCCAGATTGCCTGACTCCGTGATTTTAAACCTTATATCATATTGCTTCATATTCAAGGGTTATTTAAGTTAATTACTTTCAAGCATTTTAAATGCAAATTATATCAGATATAATTCAAGATTCAAATTGAATTTCATGTATTAAAGAGAGAAGGCTATCCTAAAAAATATGCTTTCTGCGTAGAAAACCTTATCTCTTACTTTTTCATTTGTTTAAAATTGCTTGTCTATAAATATCCTCATGAAGCTTCTCTTGGAAGAAGGACCTTCAGGATAAAACAAAAGTATATTAAAGCACAGAATGTGTCGGCTTTGATCAATGGTTCAAGGCTAAAATTTCCAGCCTGATATTTTGTTTTGTTTAGTTGTGTTTTACTTTGCTTTTGGTTAATGCCCTAGCGGGCTCTTTATAATAGGAAATGGTGGATTAATGGCTGGATTTCTTTTCTCTGTCTAGAGAACTAGATGAGACAGACATACGGAGAAGAGATGCTTAACCAGGTTATTAGAGAAATGGATCAAACATTCAAATGTCTAAAGGCCAGAGACAAAAACCTGAAACAGAGGATAATTAAGGGCATGGGTCTGCAATCGGATAATCTGTGTGCTGCACCCACCTTGCAATTTAGCCATGGGAAAATCATTTAAACAAGCTAGCCTCATGTTTCCCATGTGTAAAATAGAAATAATAATAATGCTTACCTCTTGGGATTCTTGTGAGTGATGATAAGATATGCAGGGGGTAGGATAGTGCTGTACACACAGTAAATATTCAACCAAAGTTGGCTAGGCTATTATTACCTATGCTTTTTCATATCTTCCTGCTCCCAGGCTTCACTATTTACTATTACTATTTAACTGTTTAACTATTCTACTCCACATGCCAGACACCCATGGCTGCATCCGTTGCATTGTAGTGCACTCTACCAGACATGCAGATGTGTTTTAGATAAAGATATCAGTGTATTTTTTCAGTCCCACCCTAAAAGAGGAAGCACGCTAGCAAGGCAAGACTGCTTAATGAAACGAACACCACCTGGAATTCAGAGACATTTGGCCAGGGGCTGCAATATCCATCAGTTTGTGTGG